TACACCAATATTTGTTTAATCTAAAATAGTAAAAAAATTCAATCCAATTTTTTACAACCACCCCCCACCCCCGCATTGCCTCTGTGGACCACCTAGAGGTCATAGACCACCTATCACAGACTGCTGTTCACTGCAGCAGCCAAGACTTTTTTCTGTAAATGCCTTTGGAATTTGCATTTTTAGATTTAGAGTTCGACAGAACAGGACGTGGAACTGGTGATGAAGCTTGTTATTGATACGTTTCTTGTGTCTTTACAGGGATTTACTGTGGGCTGCCGCAGATACGCACACACACAACCACACTTGAACCACAAATTAGTAATGCCAACACACTGGAATAACGACAAACGGAAAGAACAAATGTACTACTGAATATCAATACGCATACCAGACAAATCTACCAGGTTTACAGCTGACGAACACCACAAGAAACGCATCACATTAACAGAGGTGCACACACACACACACACACACACCTAACTAATACACACCCTAGTAATACCAACTTCTTGTTCTATCACACCATGCTAACACACAGATACCTGGCAAGCGCATCGTGCTAACAAAGAACTCCAAACTATCGCTAACACAGTGGCCAAGCTAACACATCCGGCTTACTGAACACATCATCCAAAATGACAACACCACGATGCTAACACACCACACAACAAAACACTAACACACCTCAGTCACACACACACCACTGTCATACCCTGCTGAAACTCAACAAAAACACCCCACTGTGCTCAGCTTTTAATTATAGCACCACAATGCTAACATACCACCTGACAACAACACACTAATACACAACAAATATGTGCCTACACATCATATACTGCATATGTATATATACACACACATATGTACACATACATACATACTTATATTTATATATATTTGTATAATGATTGTATTTATACATAAATCAATTTTAAGAGGCAATAATGTCTGTCTTTAAAATAAATGAATAAATGTTTATTCTGTGATCTGATGAGCCAAAATAAATATTCTGGTGAGTTGAAACACAGAACAACTCAGGAATCCGTAATTGACATAACACAGTTAAGGACACCACACTGGAGACTGGCCACCAGGTGGTGGCGAGTAGTTGAAATCCCAAGTCTTCACGACTAAGCTGAGGCTGAATGATGATGCCAACAGAGAAAGAGGCAGAAGAGGGAGACTCCTGATCATTGATTATTCCCAAACACACACGCGCTCGCACACACACAGTTTAACCACAGAGGACAGAGACAGGGCGTGGAAGACAGGATCACTCACTCTGCTCTAACGCTGAGAGTGTCAGGGAGGGTCCAGGGAAATCACCTGGTTTCTCTCTTTGACTTTTCCAATCGGAAGTTTTACAGAATGTCACTGTATGAAAAACTTTATGATTCCGCCTTTTAGTTTTAGTACAAGACATTTACTGAGATCTAAAATTCTACTCATACTTTTAGTAGGAACCTTGTGGCCATCACCCATTAGTGTCACATACACAAGACACATACCAAAATGTAAAAAAAAGCCATAAACCCTGGATCAAACCAAATGTAGAGACACAAAAGAATTCTATCTTGTTCTTTATTGTTTGCCAGGCTCTACTCATAAACAAGCCGACAAACACATTTAGGTGAGAACATAAAGCTGAACCTCATGACTGATGACACATGTAACATAGTGTTAAAGCAAGAACGCAGAGGGGACGATCAGTAGACGATAGAGGTGTCATAGGGAGGGAGAGAGAATGAGAAGAAGAAAATCATAGCGAAAGCAAAATCTGACAGAAAAAAGGAAAAGTAGTTGAAAAATAAGTTGAAAAGAAAGGAAATTAAGAAGAAAACTGTTATGTTCTGGTTTTCTTTTATTTATTTTTTACAGAGCAGCGAGTATAAACTGATATCTTTGAATCTACAAAGCTATAGTCACCTCAGTCATGTCAAAAGTCTGGCCCGGGGGCCCATTATGGCCCTTGAACAGGGTTGCTGTGGCCCGCGGCTGAACTGTATATTATTTATGACCTGCCACGATGATCAAACCAAACTAATAAATCCAACAACCTCAAGTTTTACTTCGTCTCTAGTGGTTTAAATCTGCCTTTGCATCTGTCTGGGTCCATAGAGGTGATGTTTTAGAAAACACACAAGGTGAATAATCGACCTAAATATTACAGCGGCATGTTGAGGAATTTTTCCTGATGAATAAAACTGACGTTGTGATTATGCAAAATACAGAAAAACATACCGTATGTCTAGCAGTAGAACACCGCATATTGGTCATCGTACGCACAGGTAAGAATTATACCCGCAATACATTTCGCATTTTATACACTTTGTTACACGTTTGTGCCATAAACACCACAGTAACTAGTACTTGTGTACCATTACCCTGTGAATACATGGTTTCATTGCCTCTGCTTGCTTCTGGGTTTTATTGCCTTGTTCCTTTGGCACGTGTAAATAATAAAGTGGAATCTAATGTAATCTACTGTCATCTAATCTAATTTAAAGTTGTATTCAGGTATTTAAATCCAATTAATTTAAATACCTGTTTTTTTTAATACACTGTTAAACAGAGAGAACTGACATTTACATTTGTTCTTTCTGTTTGTATGTGACATGAAGCTTTAGACTGAGTTTGACTCTGAACACTGTGGAATTTAAATGTCGCTGCTGACAAGCCGAGGTGGTCAAATCAGGACAGATATGCAAACCAACATTATAAAAAGGCAGCGGGAGGAGGAGAGTCTAGAACGATAGAGTGACTGTTGATACTGTTCTAATATGCACGGTGACTAAGACAGCTCAGCCAATAATTCATCAGAGAATTGGTGTTAAACCACTGGAATTAACACTGATGAAGAAGGAGGTGGCAGATAAAACGTTTTAATTAAGTTAATCGATGGGACAAAGACTTCTTTTTATGATGTCAACATGTTGTTGCTTCGGTAGCTTTTAAAACTAATTTCAGGGGGAAGAAAGAAGAAAAGTGAATGTAATAAAGTCACTGCCAAAATAAAAGGTGATGTCTTATCAGAATCTCTCACACATCACAGTTAAATCGATCTGTTTTAATTATCATCTTCTAATCTTCCAAGCATTCTGAGTGTGTGATAAAAAATTAAATGGAATAAAGATCATTAATATAATCTTCAGCTGAGAAAAATCGTCTCTGATCTTTTTGTTTCTGAGTTCAGCGCTTAAAAAATAAACACTTTCACACTTGGGATTTGTGAAAATCTGTAAAAATCTGATTTAATATATATTTTATATTACAGCCCAGTGTCCAAAACTCTTTTATTATGTAATTTATATCATATTCTATTATTATTATTATTTAGCTGCTCTGATTTACTTCAGTTTGTTGTCGTGTGCTGGTGACATTTGCAGAAACACTGAAGTTGAACCTAATCTAATGTGATTTTAATTAAATGATATATGATAACCCTCTAAAATAAACGCAGCTGATTACAGTGGGGGCAGAAACCCCAGTTTTTACATCTTCATTGTATCAATACATTTGTTTATTTAAAACTGCTGGTCTAATTTCATTAATAAATTGCTTTAAAACTGCACGACAAAAAATAAACTGCAAATACAAAAAGGAACGTAATATAAGGTGAAAGCAGCGTCTTCTGCAGATGGCGGGAAACTAAAATGAATGAGTTTAACTGTTTAAACGGAGGTGAATTAATGAATATATCAGTTAACTGGTTTTGTCAGGTTTTTTTTTTCTTTTTTTTGTCTCAGAGTTTTGTTTCTGCGATTTCTGGCTCGATTAAAACCAAAGTTGTTTTTTTTTTTCCTACTCACATATTTAAGTATCTGCGAAAGACCATTTTTAGGCTCGGTCCAAACTTTTTAAAATGTTTTAGCGCTATTTTAACAGCCCCTGAGTGGGGTTGTTGGTTTATACGTCTTCACCGGGATGTGTCTGTTTAGTCCTAAACAATGCAGCATTTCCAATTTAATCAATTATTTTTAAAAAGTCTTAAATGAATAAAGGGACAGCAACTGCGAACCCCAGACTGTTACTCTGTACCGTGTACGTCGTGTGAGCTGTTAAATCAACGCGCACACACACATTTGAGTGCTGTTTTAACTTGTTTTATTATTTGTATTAATATAGAGGTTTACTGTCGGCACAGCATTTTATTTCTTTTTTTATTTATAAAGATTAAAAAATGCTTTATTTGTATGTTAATTTCCGACGGCGGTCACATGATCATACTTCATACTTTAAATTATCCTTTTTTATTTATAACCATCAACTTTTAAATTTGTTGTTTTTAGAGAGACTCTGCCTTGAACCGCGTAAATAAAACGAAAAGGAAAACTCAAGATATTTAATGTGACATGAATCTAAAGCTGTTTAAATTGAATGATCACAAACTTCTAAATATGATTTTTTTTTTTTTTTCTGGTTCTGTTCTTTGATCTGTAATCTGACGTGTGCGGCGTTCGCGCTACATCTGCCGCTTCTGCCGCTGCGCGTCTGTTACGCGCGGCGTGTTCGAGTCTGCACCATCTACCGCTCCATACAAGAGCGTGGAAAAAAGTTTTGGTTCTGGTGAGGTTTTGGTCTCCGTTCTTGGTCTGGTCCTGCGCAGAGAGGCTGCAGGAGCACGCGCACAAGCTGCAGGTTCAGTTGTCAAAATGTAAAGAGATAAATGATCCAGATTGAAATGTTTCTTCAGGGATCAGTTGTTTTTGCTGTGATAAATGATGACAAATGTGAGGTTTTTAAATCAGAGAAATAGTGAGAGAAACTTTTGCTTTACAGCCCTTTAAAAGAAGAACATTCATTTTAGTTCTGTTTTACGTTTTTTCTGCGTTTTTCTACTTTTTTCGAAATTTATTTCAGGTCATTATTTTTCTCAAGCTGTGACACTGCACAGGCTCCGCACAAACTTTATCTGAAAAAGCCTTTTGTGGTCCTTCATCCCCACTGCGTGAGTGTTTAAGTGTGTGTTTGTGTGTTAAGATGTGCCTGTGTGTTTTCACCTCTGAGCCGCTGTGTTCGCGTCCAAAATCCCTGCGCCCTGCATCCAGGAGCGCACCGGGGTCATACCGGTGGGGAGCGGCTCCTCCTTCATGGTCAGGGCCCCCCGAGGGAGGCTGTCCTGCAGGGAGAACATGAAAGTTTCTGTCCTGGAGACTTTCTTCTTCTCCTTCTGTAGCAGCAACAGCGGGGGGAAAAATCAAGAAAAAGATGAAGAGTAATCCTCCTGCAGCGGACACTCAAAAAGCCAAAGCAGCACCTGGATTAAGGTGCAACAGCAGCAGGAGGAGGAGGAGGAAGGAGGAGGAGGGAGGAGGAGACACCAGCGAGTTTCCCCTAAAGTCCCGGGTCCTGATCCAGAGCAGAGCCGGACTCCCTGTGGGCTCCTGCGGGGCTGCTTTTAGATCCGTGTCCGCTACAACTGAAAGGAGTCACTGCAGAGAGGAGAGAGGAGGAGGACGAGCAGCTGGAGAAAGGAGCATCTCAGTGAAGGAGCAACCGGGGTCTGGAGCGTTAGAGGGCGGCAGGAGTTGTTTGTAAAGCGGATAAGGAAGAGGCAGAGCCCGGTGATGAGAAGAGGCTGAACCCGGGTTAAAGAGGCAGAGCCCGGTGATGATAGGAGGCAAAGCACGGGATAAGAGGAGGCAGAGCCCGGCGAGGAGAGGAGGCAGAGCCCGGTGAGGAGAGGAGGCAGAGCCCGGTGATGAGAGGAGGCAGAGCCGCTGAGGGTTTAGAGGGAAAATGAAAAAGAGGCGAAGCTTCAAAAAGAGTCAAATGAAATGATTAGAAAACAAGAGGGAGGGACGGAGCTGCAGGAGGAGGCTGATGCTCCCCGGGGAGCAAGGGGGAGCAGGAACCTTTCCTCCTCCTCCTTCTCTTCTTCTCCCTCCTCCTCCTCCTCCTCCTCCTCCTCCTCCTCCTCCTCCTCCTCCTCCTCCTCCTTTCTTCGGCTCCACTGTCCCGGCGGACAACTCCTTCTCTTGGCCTCCGCGGCTCTGAAACTCCCGGGGGAAACGGCCTGGACAGGAGAGGGCGGGGACATCACCATAAAAGGAAACCCGTTTGTATGTAGGACACGCCCCGTCGCTCTCTCATTGGCTAGCGCTCTGCGTTACGTCGATGTTTGTACATGAGGGTTTTTCCGCGTGTTCGAGCGCGTGAACTGGAAAAGAAATGAGTGACGTTTGAAATTAGGATTAAAAAGATTAAACAGGTGAAGGGACTGTGACGTCATGGTTAATGACTCGGTTTAGACATTAAAGAGGATGCCTTAATTTGTTTTATGCACGCACAAACACGCGAGATTATGAGAATTAACACAGGAGAAATACTCGCAAATGCCGAAGCTCTCCGTTAGACATACATGTGTCCATTGAGATTATGAATGTAACAGAAACAATAAACTAAACAGCAACGATGATAATTATAACAACAATTAATACTATTAGTATCATCATAATGTGATTTTGATTCCTATTTACTTTTTTTGTTTGTTTTTGTTTTTGATGATGTATCGACAGAACCAGACTGGCTTTAATGAAGCAGAAGCTCCCGCGTTCTGCTGATTAAATATTTATCTTTTCCCTCCTTTGGGGAAAAAGGGAAAACATCTGGAAAAATCTAAAATATATATATATATATATTTGTGAGCTGGAAACATCCTGGTAAAGAAGATGATGAGGAAATAATAGGCTGTTATATCAACATGATTATTACATATATGATATTCATTACTTTATTAATGATGATAATTTGCCTAAAGTAAGAACAAATGTATTACATTTACTCTGAATTAAAATAATTAAAAGGGATATTACCATAAACCATGTTCATTATAGTGACGACGTGGTTTTAATTATGATTATCAGTACTATTCTGTGTAAACATTGTGCCTTTTCGCTATTACTAAGATAGATTTTATAATATTATCTAAATCAGAGGGGCCAAAGACTCAGGGAAACCTGGAATGCGTCCTGGAAAGTCATTATGAATTTTCCTCACCCTCCCGCAAAGCAGATGCTGTCAGGAATCTCGAAATCATTCAAATGAAACCAAAAACCTTCTGGACCAGGACCTGGAATGAACCTGGAATGGCAAAACACTGTGGATATCGTCTTAAATGTTAACTTGAAAACTTCCTGGAACATAGAAAGAACTTGAACAAATATTTCTGCTCTCATTAAAGAGCAGGACACATACATCAGGACCTTTAGACCTCATCTGGATAGGAACCAGATTTTCTGAATCCATCTGCAGGAGACCCTGACCTCATTGTGAACACACTACAAATCTCTTGAGAGTTTTCTGGAACATCTTTCAAACACCTCAGAGATTCCTGGGAACCTGCAGTGGAGCCATCAGACAGCTGTCAGCTGCTTTTCACTTGATTAAAACTGGATCAGAACAGGACTATTAGCAGCTCCTGGAACTAAAGCATGGGGTGGGAACCTGCAGAATATTATTTTTGTAGAGAGCTGTGATGAATATTACTATATTCATGTGGAATGATGAGACGTTCTCAAGCTCCTTCTTAAGCCTGTGGAGTTCTGCTACCTGCAGAACTTTGGGGGTGGCATCTTTATCATCATCATCATCATCATCCTCTCAGGATCATTACATCAAAAATATTTTAATGAGTTTAGATGCTTTAAAATTTTAATATGTGAATAAAAAGACTGGAGACAATATCTCAAATATCGTATTAAATAAATCATTACCATAACGCCAAATGATTCAAGGCTCTCCAACGTTTATTATATTTACATTTTTATCAACATGATTAATTTAATTATCATAAGACTGCTATTAATACGTCAAATTAACGTAATTTTATTTAAAGTAAAAAACAATAAACAAATAAACAATAAAAGCGTCTTTGGATTAGGTTTTAAATACAACAACTATTAACTGCGTATTTAATTATTTAAATGTTTTATCAATTCTTTTTCTAGTTATAAAGCGTAATTCGCTTTGTTTCGTCGCAACTCGTACAGTTACAGGGCGACACTTAGCTGTCAAAGAAAGGCACTACACTTTTAAGATCGCTCTATTATGTGCCCTTTGTTAATAATACTATTGGCAGAACACTGAAGGATACGTTAACGATCTGTAGCCAAACGTTAATGTTTTTCATCCTTGACTATCATCATACATAATTTGTATTCGATATAACACAGAGTAAACTAAAAAAAATAGAGTTAGCCTTGTTTATTTTCCCCAAGAGAGAGTTATATAAAACAGAAATGCATATTTCAAACGTTTACAAACCAATAATTATATTCGATTAGATTTTAATAGAACGTGCTGACCGCGATTTCAATCTCACATAGTTACCTTATATATTACCAAAAAGGAATGTTGTATTTACTGGAAACTGTTGTGTGAGTTTGTAATGCGAGTTAAACGGTGAGTGTTTATTCTTGATTATGCAGGCACGTATAACTTCATGACCAAGTAACGTATGCCCTCTAGTGGAACCAATAACACATTACAGCTTGTTTCGTCGTTTGTTTATTCACACATGGAACAAAACTAAAACTACAAAACATAGAAAACATGTGCGTGTTAACGTATTCAAACCTAGTGCGAACAAACGTCTGCACATCACTGAAAACTTAAAGGCTAAACTAAAACTCAAACAGAGTTAGAACACAGTATTTAGACATATTGTGAGTCACACATTTTAAAACCTAGCAAGGTTTTAAAATGAGTCACACATTTTAAAACCTAGCAAGGTGAACATGTACACTAACTAAATAAATGCACATATGAAGACACAGGAAACAATAGTCACCACTATACTTATATGAAGTTTGATTTACACATTAGTAGCCACTAAAAACATGTTACCAAAGCTAGTTTGTTTGATATTAAGTCCCACGTAGCCGCTCAAGAAAATTAGTTTGCAACAGACTTAGTTTCTACACCATGCACATTTAGATTTCTAATGGCTTGTTTTCAACAGTTTTAACTTTATGATGGGCAACACACAAAACCCCAAAAAACTAATCTTGATAGTGGGAAACACTTACCTGAAACAAATACAGATGAGGCTAGCGTTCGGCAACCATCTTGGATGTCTCTGCTTTGATTGAGAGCCAATCCCCTGCTGGGGCTGACAGTGTCGACCAATCACATACTAGTTTCCAAGAGACTTTTTCGCAATAAAATGTATTTGCCGCTTGCTCCAAGCACTGATTGCAAAGTACAGTAGTTGCAGTAAAGGTAAATAGCCTGCAGTAGTATTAAATAAGCAGAAACCCAGAGGGAACAAGGAAACAAAATGGACGATGACAGACTTTTGACATAGCAGCTACTAAGAATTTTGTTGATAAAGTATATTCTTAATGTGACCAATCATGTTTAAGTGACCAATCATATTAATTGCCTAATTTCCACATTTTGACAGAGTAGTATCTGCACATAATTTTGTGGGACAATGTTTAAGTGCGGAGCCATTCCTGATGCAACCCAATTTGGGAATGGGGATTAGTGGAATCAAACCCAGAACCTTCTGCTTGGCCTATAAACACAGCACTCTGCAAGCACCATCTTTGAAAACTGTGATGTGAAGAAACACAAGTGATGTCACACAGATGAATGCACACACACAGACTTAGCAACATTTACGGACCAAAATATATTTTATATCCTCATGTACAAGACATAGTTGTTTGTGGAGTAATAAACATAAACATCACAAACTACATATGGCCACACCAGGGCCTGTGAGTGAGTGTGGTGGAATATAAAGATTTTATTTAAAGTAAGTTCATTTTTACTGATGACAGTGCAGATGCATCTCTTCCTGTTGCTACAACACAAAGTACTTTTACAATAAATAAAAAGAATAAATGTGGACTTAAATGTGAAATTACACAGGGCAACAATGAGAGTAAAACATCTTGATGACCACTTCAGTGTCAGTCAGTAAAAATTCATGTTCTCAGGTTTACACCTGAAATGTATCAATCCACGTTCCTCAATCGAATTCTGATGACAAAATCCTCATTTTAAAATTTTAACTTTTCTATGTAAAACTCAGAGTTCTTGGGTTAATATTAGGTTTAAATCCATGTTGACAGGCTTAAAAAGTTTGTATCTCAATACATGTTGTGTCTTTATTTTTTGTTATAAAGGTTTTCTAACTTGTTTCCTTCATCTTTTTGATGATTCGTCATCACAGGTGTCATCTTATTTTGTTCTTCTTTAATTCCAAAAGCTTTCAGGAATATTCATTTATTCCTAAAAAAAAAAAGTTGCCCGTTCAATGATATGTCACGTCGTTATTATTAAGTCCTTCTGGCTCTCTGTCCCTTCTTTTTTCAGATTAGCTTGTCACACATCATACGGCCTCTCCTCCTCCTCTTCCTCTTGTGTCTTCCTGGTGAAGGCTGATGACAGCTCCTGCAGCAGCAGTTCTTGTGACTGAGTGCAGCCCAATTGCTGCGTCCTTCTCTTGTTTGTTGACGGGCTGCAGTCTGCCTCTCTTTCACCAATGCTCAGCTCTGGGTCCAATGTGTTGATCTGATCCATTTGCCTTGAATCTACTGGGATGAGTCTGAGAGGAGGATCGTCAGGGACTTCGTGAGTTTCTGCATTACTGCTGGACAGAAAACTTGTCTCCAGAGACTTCAGCACCTGCAGGCCGAAGTCACCAACCTCCTCATAGAGAGGTTCAGGGAGGTCAGGAGAGTCAGAGCGCTCATCCAAAGAGTCATGCTGCACTTTCATTGGCTGAAAACAGAAACACAAAGAGTCAAAAACAGAGACTCAAAGACTTGGAGGCACAAATACTAAAGAAAGTGAATCAGGACCAGAGAATTAAAGACCCAGAATCACAGAGCCTGAAGATAAATACAAGATTCACTTAAAAAAAACATAAAGGTCACCTATTTATTTACCTACCAACTTACTTTATTTTTTAATAAAGTTATAAAAAAACAATTTAACTGCAGTACTCACAAAATACATAGAGAGCGTCCGTCTGTCGTGTAGCTTCCTCTGTAGGATATAAACCAGAGAAAGTGATTATTTGGACAGAGGATAAAAACATTATTTGCGATAATGTCACCCGAGAAAATGTAGTCTAACCAGCTTCTGATTGGCCGACAGCATGGTGCTGTTGCTCTCTCTCTCATCTCCCCTGATTGGAACCAGTGGCATCGTTCCAAACTTCTGTTTTGAGATGTCAGCAGATGAGTGTCGCCTCAGCACTGCAGGCCCCGGGTCTTTGTTCTAGAGGGAAATAAATTGTATGTTTTCCTTGTAAACTCCGAACTGGAAGGGTTTCCCTGGAGTTGACTTAAAACTGACCTGAGCTTTTAGGAAGCAGGTGACCCAGTCCCAGAGGTCAGTCTCACAGCTACAGCATAAAAACCTGTAATAGATACATTTCCAAAAAAGAGGTGATGAAAATGCATGGAAAGATATTTCTGAAGGTGACCTGAGAAAAAAAAACAATATCAATTTGCACTTTATCTATCAAATGTTTTATCTCAAAGGCTCACTTTAACTTTAAAGATCTATAGCAGCGGTCCCCAACCTTTTCTGTGCCACAGACTGGTTAAATGTCTGACAGTTTTCCCTTGGACCGGTGCCAGTCCACAGCTCGGGGGTTGGGGACCACTGTTTATAAGGAAATTATTCCAAATGCTGCGTTACAAATTTGCATCTGTGCCTTTGACACTGTTATTTATTATATGAACACTACAATGTAGAAAGCAATTCTGTTTAAGTAGTCTGCAATTACAACTTGGGTGAGTGTGTGATTATGTAACGGTATTAAACCACTGACTACAGATTAAAATTAGGCCTTTGTTTATTGCTAACAGATTTACAGACAAGATCATCTGCATGCATTGTTCCTATTGGCTGATTGATAGTGATGACAGCAGAGCAGGTACTTACAGCTGGTGTTTGTCTGACATCAATGTAAGGCCCCACCTGCAGGTGCATAACAGGCTTAGTTGATGTCCACCACCAATAACCTTTGACCTCCGAACCAATTAATATCAGGTGATAAAAACAAATAGATGGTCCAAGTTTCTATTACCTGGTTGGAGCTTTAAGTTTTTTCCTGATGCCAATGTATACCTTCATAGACTTCAGAGACCACTGCTTCTCTGGTTTAATGCTCTAAAGGACAATTAGAAGACCAGGCGCATCAACGCCACCAACAGTTTGAGAAACACATCTTGGTACGTAAATAAAAGTTCTGCTCTGAGACTCTGAAGTAGGAATCAATGCTCCTCTTACCTTCTTGTCTTTGAGCAGCAGCAGCTTTTGTTTCTTAATCTGGAACGTTCTTTCCTGGAATCTGTTCCCTTGAAGAAACTTTGGCGGCTCCTCGCGACACCAAACCAATCCCACTTTCATGATGTCACTCTGATAAGCTGCAGAAAGGCAGACAAACAGGAAATAAGCAGTTTACCAAAGGGGGCTAGGTGAAAACGTGAGCAGTACAGCAGCTGTATTCATACAACAGGTGAACATACAGGTGAGGATGTTAATGCCTTCTCCAATTGGAACCTTCTTCACCACCAGGTAGGCAGAGCTTGGGTCAGCCATCTTGCACCACTGTAACGCCTGTTCCAGAACTTTTTCTTTAGGATGTAATGGACGCTCTGTGAGACGGAGACAGAAAAAAGAAATAGATTGCACACGCACTCGGAGAAATAGATGTCCACACACAGAGACAGATATTTGACTCACCTAGCTGTCCAACCTCGATGGCTTCAAACGTCATCCAGATGTCTTTGTCTCCAGCAGGAACATTCCTCATATACAGAACCTGGTTGGTCAGTTCCTCAGCACACATGGTCGGTGATACCTGCAGGATTCAGAGGTCAAGTGTGTCACTGCTGAATATTTACTTTCTTTCCTGTCTCAAGTATAGTTTGAGATTTACTTTCAGTGTGATGCAGCAGTCTGGAATCTTCATCTCCAGATACACTTCAATGATCAGATCTCCAGCCTGTGACAGCTTCGGTAATTAAAAAAAATATATAATGTGTCACTTATAACTTCACTTGATCACTGATCAGGGTCTGTGTGTGAAAAATGACTGTGTACCTGTGTGTCCTTCCAGGTGGTGATGAGGCTGATTTCCAGCTCAATTTGATTCTGATGCTCCTCATCAATCTAAAACCGACACAAGTTAGATCAGTCAATTTAAATAAAAATAGGCACAATTATTGTGTTGCTATCCTATACATTGAACCAAATGAAATATATACAAGTTACAAGATTTAAGAATTATCTGACATGTTACATTGAGTTGCCCATTTTTTTAGAAACATTTTTATGACTTAACCAATGTCCCTTTGCTTCCTATCAACATTTGAAGCCTAACATTTGCAAATCAAGAAACCGCTCATTAATCTACTGGTCAGCACTGGTACTGCACCCGACTTGTATTTTTATGCAGGTTCCAAAATGAAAACTTAAGGATGCCTATTTTTTATAAACAGGTCAGTCTATGAACCATTCTGTACATTTTGTGTACACATGGTCAAGTTCGTAATTTTTCTAATGCTGTTAAAAAAAATCTGGGTACCACAGGAGGATTACAGTACTACATTCACAGTGGTTTCCTGTCTGGTGTACTCACATCAAAGACATACAGATAGTTGTCGATCAAGTCCTCCACAATCTTCACCTCATGTTCACCCTTCCCATCTGTCTGGAAAAGACTGGGGGCAAAGAGCAGCGACAGGTTCTTGGTGCACATCTGGTTCAGGTCTGCGCACTTCTGCACTCTGAAGCAAACAAACAGAAACAGCTGTTACTGAAAACATCCGAACAGCTGCTGTGTTCGGACTGTAGATGTTGGCCACTCAGTAGGACTCGCCTGTACAGGTGACCAAAGAGAGCTGCAAGAGTCGTCCTGTTGACTCGAGGAAGGCTTTTGATGATCTCTTTATAACGGTCCAACCGCTGAACCTTCTGAGGGATTTCTGAAGGTTTAATGTATTTCACACACAATATATAAATATATATATGTGTCACATAATAAAGATTGATGAATACAGTGAGAGTTAATACATTGTCATAATTACAATAAATTTCTTAGCTTTGTCTATCTCCAGATAACACTACTTATTGTATCTAGATATCATGCATATCTTGTGGGCTCAAACTGCACTTGTATTCAGAGCCAGCTCAGATAAGGATCAGACTCACTGGCAGCATCCTGCCACATCGGGTGGAGATCTGCCATGAAAACAGGGTCCTCAATCTCTCTGAAGAACCTTTTCAGGACATCTGTCACATCCTCAATGAAGTGGTCTCCAATTCGCAGCTTGACGTTGCGAGCGTCCTTGCGAAACTCATCCATTAGCAGCTTTATCCTAGACTTGGCGCCGTTTTTCCTATAGATCCCCTCGTGACCCAAACCTGCAGAAAAAACCACATCAAGACTCAGCAAGGTCAACAAAGACTTTTGTGTTGTTTTCACCTGCAGTACCTGCACCGTCTTACCATACTGCGTGATGAAGGACATGCAGCTGTCCACAATGATGGGGATGTCGTTTCGACTCAACTGCTGCTCCCTCAGGGTGTTTCCTTTACCGCCTGCTGCTCGCTGGATGTCAGAGTACCACATAGAGAAGTCTGTGCGGCCGACACCTTGAAGGTGTAGCGTCCTGATGAGTACACAAGAAGGCTTTAGAAACACTGGACAGACTCCAGCAGCGTAACAGGAAAACGGTCAGTCTTCTCACCTTCCTTTCTCCACCAACACTAGGACATCTTTCTTCTCGTGGTTTTCGATTTCCGTAGTGATACCTGCATTGCAAACAAATGTGTTTCACTAACCCAAGTCCAGTGCATGGACAAGAACAGCAACAGAACAACGTGGGACACTAACTCAGCTCCTGCAGACGGTTCAGGTTGATGATGTCCTCTGCTGCACCATCGTTTTGAGGACAGATGAAGAGGTTGGACTTCTGTAGGACAAAGTAGCCGTCCTTCCACTGCTGAGGGTCAAGCATGGCCCGGTATCTAAGCAATCCCACCCGATCAAACTCCCTGGTCAGAAGACAGTGACAGCTGAGTGGTGTCGCCGCCTGGTGGTAGCAGCAGCAACATCGTGGTGAGACAAAAGTAAAAATGTTCATTAAAAAAATATGAAATATTAGATATTTCAACATAAACAAAAAATCTAATTAATGGTCAATATTTTAACATTTTGAACTGAAGCATTAACTTTTTGACTCATACATTAGATATACATTCACATAGGTTTTGAGCTGTGAAGAAGTACCTGTAACAGTAAATTATAAAGAATTTGAAATAAAATTTTGTTTGGATGAAATATTTTATTTAAATATCTATTCTTACTTTGCAAATATTAAATTCTTTCAAATACAGAGAAACATTGTTAAACTTCAAAATCTTGAGAAATTCAGGTACAGCTCAGTGATGTAAGCCTGACCTTCCCAATGGCTTTGGTCCAGCTGTGCAGAGCATCAGCCGTCTCCACACCAAATTGGTGCAGTTTCTCTGTCGTCAAATACAACTCAAAAGTGTAACGGAACCTGCAACGTAACAAGGAGAGGGCAGAGAACATTCAGTTCACATGGAGCTCAGGAATGATTGGACCAAAAGAGGTCATTGATCAGGATTTGTACCTGTCGATAAATCCATTGTTGTTGTTATTGTTGGATGCATCAGGTCGACTGATGCCCAAACATACAATGTCTTTAGCATTGATCTGAATGGAAGGATCGACTGATCGCTCCGACTCATACAGCAGCAGCGACCGGTCCACTGAACACCAGTACTTCTGGAAATCTAAGACAAAGCAGAATTTCAAAAGAAACCATACAGTCAGAGAAGACTCATGCAGGAAGATGACATGTTTTTATATTCTGTATATATCGATGATAACACGATAATATTTTATAAACCATTAAACTATAAGGTGTGAACGTCCTCCTACCATCTCTGGTTTTCCTGGACAGCGTCCCTCTATTTGCTGACCCAGATTTAAAGAGGTAACCAGAGTGGAGAACGGGCTGCATTATCTCATCATACACACTGGGATCTGAACAGAGAACAAACACACACATGAGCTTTGTGATCACTCAACCTATGTTAACATGCTAACACACCAACCATAGAGAGTTCAGACCTGATGTGGGACAATGTTCCACCACAGGAGGCTGCTGTTGAGCATCATCACAGTCGCTGGCTGCTCGAGTCGACTCTGCTTCTGTGAAAATCCGTGTGGCGGTTTTCAAAAGCGTCTGTTCAGAAACAGCCGTACACAGCACCTACACAAAACATAAGAATAATAATAATGAGAATACGATCAGGCAACAGTGGTTCAGTGGTGACATTTTCACAGAACTGTCAACCCTCCAGACCTTAAGTAGCTCCTCCTGACTGGCGAATGAAAGGTGCGGCAGACGAAACCGTCCCTCTCTGTATTTCTGAGTCACAAACTCTCGCCTCTGTTCGGGAGAGGCGTCACAATCAAGCTCATCAGCAACGGACATACGTGCTGCCCAGAAGTCATTAGCTTTGTCATTACCGATCATGATGAAGAGCTGAAAGAGAAAGCAATTTGGGATTCATTTTCAATTCAAACCTCAAATCTGTCAGATAGTCTTAAAGAGTTTCACACCCAGATCTAAACAAGGGTGTCTCCTCTGCTCTTTGTTGATTGACCTCACTCATTCTCCAGCACAACTGATGTCAAACTCTGCTAAAGTTAAAAGTAAATTAAGTTAAATCATGTACCTGGACGATCTCATTGCTCCACACACTGGTGTCCAACTTCAGACTCTGTACTTTAGAGATCATTGTCCCCAGACTCCTGTGCTGCCCTAAAACACAGACACACAGTTGAGGCTGTAGTTGAACCAGCTGACAGAGAACGTTCACCGTCTTCAGCCGTCTTTTAGTTTCAGCCAAATGTTCTGTAACGGACCCACTTTAAACTGTGACAGAAACACATGTAACAAACGCAACATTTTTTTAAAAATATTTTAATAACAGCTTATCAAATATTCTATAGGGTTAGCAGCCATTTCCTACAGATATGACAGATATGAAATAAACTAAATCAGCTCTGTTACCTGCACAGTTCTTGCAGATGACCACACACAGGTTAATGGAGGCCCAGTCTGGATTCAGGGCCTTGCAGTCAGCACACATTCGATTTGACCGGTTAGACCAGATCTTTTCTGCCACCTCATAATCTGACAGCGTCTCTGCGATTGCCTCCTGCAGCGCCTCCATCCAGTCTCGTTTCTCACGGTCGGACTCTGCAGTGAAGCTGAGAGGGTGAAGCAAAGCATCATTTTAAACCTGGAACTTATGTCCAAAACATGGTAATAATTGATCAAATGCAAAAATTTAGAATAGAATTTTACACTGACATTGTTTCAATTTAGAGGTAGAATTTGTAAATAAATAAATAAATAAAAAACTGTGGCATTTGTTTTCTCTCTGTCCTGTGCATGGACTGTTATCAAAATCCCGTGGTCCAACCTTAGGTACTGGTACTAAACTAGATTTTTCCAGGCCAATCAAGATAAGTACACATTTGATAAAGTCACAACAAAACTAAATTATTTGGCATTATATTGTTTATTTTCACTATCAGCATTAAAGGTCCCTGTTTCATACATAAAACCCAAATTGAAATTCCAATCCTGCATTCTTGCCACATAAAAAAACATTTCTTTTCCTTGGATGTTACCTGAATGTTTTGTATGGTGTGATCAGGTCAAAGCTCTTGTTTTTTCCATCTCTAATAGTCGACCCACGAGCTTCAATCACTGTGATGCCGATTCCATTACGGAAACACTGCAGACAAAGATGTAAAAAAACAGTTGGAGGAGCATGTGCTGTCGCCCACTGCTGCCTTACTGCAGTGGAGCTAGAAAAACATTATTCCTGTGCTTGTGTTCCTCCTGTCTCACCATCTCACTCTTGTGAAGCCAGATCTGGTCTGTGTTGATGGCAGCGTACACTTTGGACTTGGTTCCTTTCAGCTCCAGGGCGCCATGTTTCTGGCAGTGAGAGCCAGGACCAAACCGCCGCTGCCCGAACACCAGCTGATCCCTGACATGTTCCTGCAGTATGGACACCCAGCGCCTCTTCAGCACTAGAACACATCAGTCATGAGGCATCAACATTACAGTCATGCCTGGCGTTTCTGGAGCTCGAACTAGTCACTCTCTGAGTCAGGAGTCACAGATCAGTCATGGAACTATTCTGGTTTCAGATCATAGGATAGATTAGTACTCTTTCACCTACAACGGTGTTAAAATCAATGTATTAGTTATAATATTATTATTATATTTTCATTAATAAAACATTTGTTATAAATGTATTATTCATTTCGATTTGATATTCTAAGAGAGAATAGAAGTGTCTGTCCCTGTTTCCTGTTTTTCTTTTTTTGGCCTTCTGAAAGTGTGCACCATAGAAGACAAATGTCCAACAACGAAGTCTAAGTCAAGAAGAGAATTGTTAGTTACACCCATTACTGTGACCAAATACCTTCATTTTCAGCTTTAAATACAAAAATCCGATGACTTGTCACTATTTCAAATTTGGTGTCCTTGGCTGGACGGGACATCTGGATGGCAGCCAATGGAATCACCCCTTTGGGGTAGACATCCTGGAACGTGACAATAGTGACAAAATGTCAGAAGAAGGAACCCAGAAGTGCCCAGAGGTACTGTACATTATCAATAAGTAACAGTCTGTACATATACTATCTACATTATGGATTTTTATTTTTAAATTGAAACTTTTTTTACTATATGGATGTTTAAATCAATTGGTATTACATATGAAGCATTCAATAATTAGAGCGAGCTTGAGTGAACCTTTAAGAGCTTTCAGCATTGGGGGATGATGAGAAGAAATGTCTTTTCATACCTTCTCACTGCCGAAGTACATCAGGTTTTTTCCGTCAAATTTGACATAGCGCTTCTGAAAAACGTAGTTTCTAAAAAATAGATTAACAGACCCAGAATTCAGTTTCACAAACTCAACCCAACCAGCTGTTGCAGAGAGAAGAAAAAAAACGGAAGGAAGACAAACAGACCGAGTCGAGGATGAAGGTGAAAAAGAGGAAGAGGAGCTAGTTAGGCAAAGGCAACTTCTGAGGAGGAAGGACACACAAGGAGGAGCAGAGAGGAGGAGGTGCAGCAGGAAAGCAGGAGCTGACAATTGATACCTGACAGACACAGAAGGATTGCACCCAGGATCACTTAAAATTCCTAAAGAACCACTGATAGATAAAAGGTCGTCAACAAATCCACAACAGTGGTGTGTGAACTTAACTCACCCTTGCGGAGACAGTTTGTCAAGCCAGCCGCTGATGATAGGTGGCGCTCTCTCTGTCAGGGAAGTGTAGCTGGCATAAGGTGAGATGATCAAGTCTTCATCGCTCTCTGACAGGAAGGTGTGGGTGGGCAAAGACAGACCGTGGAGGGGAGGTGGGGATTCACCTACAGTGCTGTAACCCTGAGTTTCTCCGGCAGAATGAAGGGCGTGAGACAAACGTTTGGTCCATGATAACTTCTGGGACCTTAAGATGCACAACAGCATGAGAGAGAACAGACTTATCCTGTTGCTCTTACACAAAGATTTAAGAAAACTAGCCTAAAAAACTTTTTTTTTATTTAAATTTTTACTGTGCTAACTGTCTTCTAGAACACATTATAAGTTGCTTTAAAAACGTGGGTCGAGGTGGAATAAAAATATCTTCCGTACCTGCATTAAAATGTGGTCAAATTTTGAATCTGATCAAATTCAGGAAACACTTAGAGATTAGAGTAAATACCAGTTCTCAAACCCAGCTCCTCTCACTCAAACACTGACTCTGCAAATGTGTTTTTTAATTTAGACTGTTGTAATATTTTACCCATGATCCTCTGCATGTTTTCCATCTTCCTTTCTAAAGTCCCGTCCATTGAACTGTCCTCTTTCACTCTGGAAAAACAAATAAGGACTGAAATGACCGCACCTTTCATTTCAGATCTTTGCTGATGTCACAAGTGAAGATACTTTATATATTTTCTTTTCAAAGAACAAAAGTCTCACCTCACAGGCATGAGGATTTCTTCTCATCTGAAAAACAGTTTCACAGTATGGGCTTATCTCCTCATCAGGATCATCAGTGGAAACTGGTGGTAGTTGAACAACAGCTTTAACTTCATTTTTGTTTAAAACAAAATCCCAAAGAGTAAACTTGAACTAAGTCACTTCTGAACTTACCTCGAGCTGATCCTGATGAGTTGTTACTTAAAGTGCTGCAACTGAAATTACACAAACACCAAAGAAGGTGTTAATGGATCAGTCACATCGGACGGGTTAACAAGTATTGTCTAAGGACTAGTAAACAAGTACACACTGCAGGTAATTCCACTTTTTTTGTTCTGTACTGTATATAGATATGATCATTTAAACTTAAGGGATAAACACCTTAGCTAATATCACTCCCATGATAAAAACATTTCCAGCAGGTTATAGACACAAAACATTTCCACAAAAACACTGTCACTTGCTGACCTCTCTTTTTAAATTACCGTATTTCCGTACTATAAGTTGCTCTTTGTTTCATCCTTTCGCTGGGTTTGCGACTTATACTCAGGTGCGACTTACATATTAAAATATATAATTTCACGTTTGTTGTTTTCACACTGACAGCCACTAGAGGGCACTCTAGGCTTGTGTATGAGTATCTGCTACTCCCACTGAAAATGTACATGTTCGTTATTTTCCACTTGTACTCCATAGCGACTTATAGTCCCAAAAATTGAGTAATAAAATGCAACCACCCGTTGTGTGTGTGGAACTGCGATTTTAATTAAAAACATACCCCCCAGAATGTTGTTTCAATCAAATGGAATGACACCAAACAAACAAACCATTTTTAGATGCTGATTGCGGACATACCTGTTCCTTTCAGGAGTTTGTCTGGGCGGAGTCATCGGACCTGACAACTCACTGCTGTGACTCCTGCCACCACTGGAGGCAGTAGATCCAGGTGAAGTTCCCCAATAGATCTCATTGGAGACCATCTCTATTCCCTCTCTGGGAGAACTTGAACATGAGTTTCTCTCATGACTACCAGGATATGAAATGAGTGAGGACAAAATCTGGTTCTGTTCTGGTTGAACAGGCAAAGAAGCAGAGGGTGCAGCATCCTGTTGGACTGAGGGGAGGGCTAGGCGGTGGAGGCGTGGAGGAACAGGAGGAACTGCACCACCAGTATCTGACAGAGACAAACTACGTGTTGGCCTCATCTTTTCTGCCTGACTTAGGTTCCTGTTGGGCGTGGTCATCTTATCATCAAGATCAGAGTCAGACCTGTTGTTAGGGCTAGGCATGTCCTTGCAACTTAATCTGTCTAACACAAAACAAATGGACTCCTGGGAGAGTCTCCGAGGAGGGGGCGGAGCTGGGTCTGGGGCAGGACAGAAGTTGATGGGTGCAGTCCTGCGTCGGTTGAAAACAGTTCTGGGTTTAGGGACTGGCTTCACTACAGCTCTTTTGGAGTCTGAGTTTGCCAACATTGCAGTGAGGTTTGGTGCTGAACTGTTCCTGAGCGCCTCAAAGTTCACCGTTCCTGTAGACTGACTGCGCAAAGTGGATTCACAAAATCTCAGAGAAGAGGATACGGACTGACAGCGCTCCCGTGGGAGATCAGACACAGCTTTCTGACCAGATCTTTGAACCTCTAGCCTCTGAATGTGATTGACCAGCCGGAGAATTCTCTTCCTATGTCCGGTGGCGGTCACACCCAGACTGACCAGGGCATCATGGTCCAAGTGGGTGAAGTCTCTGGCCAACAGAAGAGCAGCTCGACGGAATGTGTCCACATACCTGAGGTGGAAAGATTGAATCAAGAATGAGAGGATCTAATGTTTGTTTGTCCAACAATAAACACTGTACATACTGTATGTTGTTAAACACATCATTGTACTTGGGCAGTTTTGAATGTAAAAGAGATTAAATGATTATTTTTCAGGAATAAAACACATTCTAAAATTCCTTGCTATTTCTATCTCTTTGCCCAACAGTAAAAGTATATCGTTTTTTGCTGTTAGCAAGCAAAAAACCTGTATTCAATGCAAAAACTGTAACAATTATTCTGTATCTCTACAGGTCTAGACATGAAAAAATGTTTGAACATTGTCTTGGGACAGAAATGACAACCCTGTTTGAGCCACATGATTATACTGGCCGAGACCCCATCCTCACCTTTCCAGGTGAATTGCTGACAGGAGCGTCTCAACCGGTGTGCTTCCATCCAGTGTTGCCATGGCGACCAACATGGAGTCTGGATGTGGCGTCGCTTCCTCTGTGTCCTCCTGAAAATACGGTGGCGGCCATCACTGACCTATAAACGGCAGGCGTTCTTCTGACAGGGCGGAGTCATGGCTGACCTACAGGCAGCATTCCATCTGAGGACAGAAACAAGAGCATCAGACATACACACTGCTGTTTTTACAGCATCCAGAGGGTATAAGTGTGAACTTTGACCTCCCCCCAGGATCATGACCCTGCTGATTGGCCAAATAAAACCGCAGAAGCAGATGATGTCAGTGAGTGGACACAGCTGAGGTATTGTTTGTCTGTATCTGCAGCATAATGGCCTTTGACCTCTGCACAACAAGAGGCAGTCTGCTGCAGGAGACACACATGATCACACACTCACACATGCTCCATGTCAGGGTTTTCTTCAACATTTACAAGATCTTTGTCAAAATGTATTAAAATACGCTGCACGGTTAACCTAACCATGTCAGATGGCCCATCACTGGCTCCTGTAGCACAATAGTGTTACAGCCAATCACAGCTGACTTTGTACTAATGTCGTGGTGAGGACAAATGTCTACTGTCTATCAGGTGGTTAACACACAGGACTAGCATAACTACAAAGTCTATATCGATGTTAGGGAAACGGTGGCTAGTGACAAATTGCTAACAACTGAGATCAGTATCAGCTTTATCTGCCCTTAGACCTGAGGTTCTCTGGTAGTTTAAAAAACCTGATATGAATACTCTTTAAAAGAAATCAGAAATAACTTAAATACCCTATCTATTTCATCATTACTTCTATCAGAGCTGGCCGTAGCCTATTTAGCATAGAAGCACACTTAGATATAAGTCAAAATCAAAACAACCGATGGCTCTATGAAATAATCCACCCCATGAGAAGATGTGGTCAATGTTGTCCAACTTAGCGAGCTCTGTCTCTACTAGCTAACCATATGTTAGCTTAGCAGTAGCACGAGGAGAGTCACTGGCTGTGTTTATTTATGGTACATCCAACGCAAATGATTCAGTGTCCACGGTCCGATGAGTAACACAATTTGAAGAATTCAGTTGGAGTTCATTATGTTGAACTGTAGGAGAGTGAGTGAAACAGGAAAAGGTTCTCAACCCGTGGTCATGTCCTGACATGGTCATGTCCACACCCTGGACCTCATCAAGACAGAAAAACCTGCACTGGGTTACTTCTTTGAAAGCCCTTCACCCTTTTGTCCCTGCATCCTGTGTGTGTGCACGTGTGTGTGTGTGTATGAAGCAGGTGAAGATGATGAAGATGATGGTGACAATCACAAGAGGCTAAAAATACACAGATACACACTGACACAGGGGTCAGCAGTCTCCAGCGTTAAGACAAAGACTTAACAGGAAGTGAGTCACAGTTGCTTCCTCTTCCTCCTCACTTTAGCTTCTTCACATGACACCATAGAAACCAGCTTCTGTTCTGACCTGAAACTCCAATGGGCCTGGATCAGGACCAAAACCAAGTCTGGGATTTTGCCTAACCAAATAGCTACAATTGTAAAGTTTCTAAGCTCCTCACATTACTTAAGACTCCGGCAGAGAACCTGACTGAGGATGCTGAGGTCACATGATGCAGATCTCACCCACCAGAGTACAGAATTTTAATGGAGGCAGGAAGAGCTGAGAGGAAAGAGACCCTCCTATTTTACTTCCACCTACCGGACGTGCGCACAAATATACACACTTACACGTCCACACACATACCAAGAAAGGACCACCAGCTATCTATCTGATCCGCTCAGTCCCCCAAATCTTCAACTGCAAAGAAAAGTGTTGACTTTAAAGTGCATTACAACCAAGTTATAGATCATAGTTTTTCACACTATACTGAAATGACAAACTTTCCATATGAGACAGAAGTAAACCTGGCTGTTTGCCGTGCCATTCAAAACTTGTTCAAATTCTTCATAGACATTGGTGTGGAGTTTAACTCTCATGTATGGATTGCAATACTAAATTTCACATTTTAGTGTGATTTTAATTTTAGAAGAAGAAAAGGGTTGTTATTGAATGTGGAGGGTTAAACTCTTGTTTTCTTCCAGACCCATATGTATGCGTATTTCACACCTCTACCAGGTTTAGACTCTAGATCACGGGTACCAAAGTTAAATTGAACCCAGCAAAAACAAAAATATTGACCTTCACTTCCCACCTCCACCAAAGTGAGAGAGACAGAGACGGAGAGAGAGAGACAGGACGGGGGAGTGAAGTGAGAACAAATGAAGGGGGAGCAGGGGAGCAGAGTAACAGTGAGTCTCTGTGATGAACAGAAGGTTGATTGTTTCTGAGCTGTAACTGGAACACACACATAGAGGAAAAGAGGGAGAGGGAGAGAAAGCAGGAGCAGAGAATTCTGGGTAAGATGGTGGATGTGAAGGTGTGAGCAGAGAGGACTGTCTATCTGTGTCCTTGTTTTTAGGAGCCACTGGACAGGAAGGAATGACACTGTTCCTGTAGTGTTCCTAACAACAGCTTATTTACAAAAACAAATCAAGACATTCGGAACTTTCTTAGGGAAACATTTGGACTCAACACAAACAAAATGGCTGACCATGTTTTGAAGGCAAAAGCTGCCTTCACTGACTCAAAAGCCCAACCTACACCTGGACAGGTAAACAGTGGCCCTCTGCTTGGCTCCACCCTGTTGTGTCCTGATGGAACCAGGTCAGTCCTCCCTGATGTATTAAAACATGCAGGTCCTTCTGAACGACATGAGTCCAACATCATAGTGACATCGCTGCATGTAATTGCTACTTTGTTTCTTTCTGAACCCTTAAGTCAAACAGGAAGTCAAGTTTTCCCTTTACATGATGTTTCTGTTTTATGTTTCCCACAAATAATTGCCCCACACTGCCATTCTTAGCTACAGTATGTATTAGTTTCTTTGGATGGAACTGCAACAGGTTTTACTAGAAGTGTCAGTGCCGGCAGAGACCTGCAGCAAAAATATAATTTGGGCCAATGTTGCATATAGAAGAGCTTTTGTAAAGTTTGTTTGTTTGTATGAGCTGATATTTAAGGAACACAAATATTTATTGGCAAATCCCCTGAGTCAGAGAGTAATGGTGGGTTTACTCTTGTACTTTGATGACTTTTTGCTAATGTTGTTAAAGTAAATTCAATATGGTGCCTACAGATTTTAGAAAACTCTGCCTAAAACATAGAGACTGTGAATAAATGGTGAGGATATTACTATTACTGAAAATCTAAAATTAGTCAGGAGTAGCAATGTAAAAATGTTCAG